AGCATGACATTAATTTTACGCGCCGACGTCACTTATCACCAATTTCACACAATGTGTTTCAAATTGGGCAATAGTTCAAACACACACATCTCGTCGCCTGAGTAGGTGCGCATACGGATTTGACGTGGCGGACAATAGAGAAAGCTTGGATAAAATATTTCCAACATACTTCGCCGAAAATCAGTAAAGCGTGCTGGAAACAGCTTACCCAGGCGAGTGCGAATCTATCGAGTGCGGCGCCATAGTCGGTCGTCCGACAGCAGCGATCTTTGCTGTCGGACGACCGAATACTATGCGTGCGGCCTGAGGCTTGCCTCTTACAATTCTTTATGGGGTCGAGTTCGCCCCAACAAGTGATTGACCGACGCTGAAAGCTTCACCACTAACTTATCATGAAGTGTACTAGTCTCCTCCTTGTTTAAACCTTGCAAACAACTTTTCGAAGCAAATCGTAAAAACTCATTAAAGGGAATTCACCTTATGATACAGAGGCGCCTTGCGTCCGAGTAGCATCCCTAGAATCACTTCTATGTATTATTCTACCATTCCGAGTTCATAAGGATCATCTTCGGAGCTATCTTGCATGCAAATAAAAGTAAACTGATGTCACAAAATAAACAATCAAAGACATGCGACAGCCATCAATGTTTATTAAAGTACAACATTATATTACTTTTTGCTGATAGGAAACAAAGACGAATGAGGTTCAAGAGAACGTTTACGTTTTCACTATAATCACACATGGAGAAAGGTACAAAATGTGAATCTGAGTGCAAATATACTAAAACTTAGAGAACAGTAATGGCAATGTTCTACTCTACGACTTTAAATTAACTTACTCCTACATCAATTTATAACAGTAGCACAAAGAAAACAACTTTAGTACATGAAAAAAAAAACAACTCTGAAACCGACCCATCCAGGAAATCGAATGTTTTCCACAAAAACAAGGGCGTGAATAGTCAACTGCACTAACTACGCGGACGAATTACACTCAGATGTCTCACTTTTTTAAAACTACGAATGAAATGTTTAATGAACCTGCAACAACAGTTGGACTTTCGCTAAGCAATAGTGTGACTTATGAACTGAAATTTTCAGCTGAAAAACCGCCGTTTCCACGGGATGGGTGCACTCCTTAAGAATATTTCGACGAAATGGCTTAGCCCAACACAGGCACTAATACACATGCAACATTTGTGCTTTTGCCAAAACGGCGAAATGAATCAGTAAAAAATCATGAGACCTGGATAAATCTGCAACGGCTATATGTACAACAACAAAGCGTGTGATTTGATGTCCGCGATAGGCCCTCATGACTTGCGCCATCATTTGCTACACCACACGTTTCATGCGTCATTCCACGAACCATTCAACGCAAGGCAGTCATAAGGTTAGACATGAACCACAGTGTTTCTCATCTCAGAAACAAAACAAATGAGAAATCAAATGCGAACTGTATAGATCATATCAACAACGGACACAGATAAAAGAGGAGTACCTGGCAGAGATAATACAGATATTAAATGAGACTAATCCTTATGATGTTAGGATCAGAAACCGATTTTATGTAGACAGTTCCGGACCCTATAAACCATGAGATTTCGGCACAAGTTTTACGAAATAAAATAACTACAGCCGCACATCCGACCTGGGTGCTATCTTAGTTGGGGGGGGGGGGACCACGCGGCGGCGCGGCGCTCTGTTCGTCTCCTCCTGCAAGGCTTAGTCCCCGATGGCGCGTATTTCGAAACTGCCACGTGATGGACGAAATAGTAACTGGGGACTAAGCCTTGAAGGGGCTAAGTGCCGCGCCGCGTGGTCCCCCCAACTAAGATAGCACTCCGATCATGTTCATAATAACTCACCAAAAATATGTAGATTTAATCATCAGCAGCCCTCCCTCTCTTTTTGGGTGGCAGGTTATGATCAACACCTGCTCCTCTTTTCTTTGTCGGCATGACCTACAACCAAATATACATTACAACGCACAGTAAAACATTGAAATGCTGAAACACTTCAAGCAATTGGAAAAAATGAAGAATATTACAAATATTGTAAAAGTACCCCTCACAGCAAATGACTGCTACCAAATATCGGAAGCTCAAGCAAAATTGGGTCTTGAACTTCACTAGCATACCATGGAATGAGTGACTAGAGACAGACTTGGGAGTCGAATAAATGCTAATGCAACCGAGTTGACAGCGTCAAGAGCACCACAGATCTAATTTAGGAGAGATGTCATCACAAAAGCGACAAGTCGGAGCCAAACAAAATAAAACCCGCAATATTTGTTAGCGTACCTTCCCAGCGCTACTAACGATAATTGACTGCTAGAAAATAAGGTTATTGTCCATAGATGATAGATTTGTACAGAATTATGCCTACGTTAAGCATTACCAGGCAATTCAGAGGAGGAGCTTCTCATGATAAGTATAAAGCGTGGTATGCCAATGGGAGTGAAATTGCGATAATCACTCCTAATAAATATTAAACAAGCTAAAAAGGATTAGATGTTTCCTCGGTCTTTGCGCAAAACCACGGTGAATCTCACAAATAAACTCCTGCTTTCAACAA